TGTGTGTGTGTGTGTGTGTGTGTGAGAGAGAGAGAGAGAGTGAGTGAGTGAGAGAGTGAGAGAGAACGTGCGTGTGGTGGTGGGAATAATTGGGACAGGAGGATAAAACCCCTCTCCAGGGCAGACTGTAACTGCTACTCCATTTGGCAGGCAGGAAGGCCCTTAGTGCTGGTCCTCCCCAGTCTGGCTGTGATACTTTTAGCACCAATCCATCTCAGTTCCTGGCCCTAAAAAGAGTGATAGGTCAAGCCATAGAGTCATAATGGCTTAGAAGATAGCTATGCAGCCCATCCAGTACCACACTATCTCTCTATAAAACAATCCAGCATACTGATCACCTCAGGGTCTCCAGACAACTAATTATTTACCTGATCTAATGCAATGTTTCTCTTTCATATTGTTGATCTGTAATCATGATGCTCTTATTCTTTCCCACTGTTCCCACAGACTGTTTTGCTGTCTCCCATTGACTTGCTTTGCCTCTGTCTCCATTTACCATCGACTCATACAGGTCTTTTCTCTCTCCCCTGCAGAGTCTCGCAGGTTAGTTCTCTCTCTCTCTTTCTATCTCCAACAAACTTTCACAAATGCATTCTCTCTGTATTCTGTTGATTTCCTCTGGATTCACACTGTCTGTTTCTCACTGTTTCCTGCAGGTTCACTTCCTGTGTCTATCACTGGCTTGCATAGGTTCATCCTCACTGCCTTTCTCTGATCCTTGCTGTTAATTGTTGTGATCCAACATTATCTCCCTCAGGCACTATCACTCCTTGACTCCAACTGACTGCCCACTGCCACTTTTAGCTATGGGTTCCTGGCACTGTTTCCTGTCAGGATAGTTCTCTCCCCACTGACTGTATGCTTCTCTGTGTGGGTCATCAGCATTCCTCTACCTCAGGCTCACTGTTTTTATCATTTTCTCTCTTCCTCTTACTCTTTTTCCTGTTGACTCCCCTAGTTAAAAGAAACACTTAGGAATCACCCTTGTGTAATTCCTTGGTATCCATCCCTGTGTTTGTTTACTTGTCCTAGTGTTTAAATTATATTCTGTCCAGTGGCTTGCAATTTGGAAATTAAACTTGCTGACCTTCCAGTGAATGCAGTTCAAATAATTATGGTTGACAATTTCATGAAGTTCTGGATCCCGAGGCCTGGTTTGGGCAGTATGGCCTGGCTGATGGCCCAGGTGAGGGCAAACCACGGCTTTGTACAGCTGATGTATGACTGCTATTTTCATACGATCAGGAAATTTAGACATGTGGGATGTTTATTCTAACAACTGAGTAATTTACAGGTCAATGAATAGCTCAGATTCAATACTGATCCTTGCAAGACACCACTTATCACATCCTGTCAATTAGAGTATCTGCTCATCATCCTTACTTTCTGTGTACTCCTGCTCTGCCAATTTCCTAAATAGATCAGTAATCTGCCTTCAATTCTAAGATTTTCGCTTTAGCTAACAGTCTCTGAAATGCCTTCTGGAAGTCCATATAATTAATATCTAGATTAATATAAACATTTTCCGTACATTACTACAGTTACATTTTCAAAAACTACCAGGAGATTTGTTAAGTTTGGTCTACTCTTTACAAATCTATGCTGGCTATCTCTGATAAAAATTTCAAGGTGATCAGTCACTCTATCCTTAATTATAGACTTTAGCAATTCCCTGAAAAGAAATGTTAGGTTAACAGATTTATGATTCCCTGATTTCCTTCTCTCAACCTTTCTTAAGGGGCAAAGGAAAACAGGATAAAGTGCTCTTTGAGAACAGTGGACTCATCCCAGTGAAAACATGGTACATGAGCTTGGAATAATAATTAATTTCCTGCACACAAGTAATTTTCTCAAGTTTACAAAACTTTTTTATTGCCTATTTTTCTAATCAACCTGTTCAGAGATGTTATTACACACCTCTGGAGTAGGTGGGACTTGAACTCAGATCTCCTGGTCAAGTGGTAGGGACACTACCACTGCACCACAAGAGGGCCAAGTTTACAATGTTTTTCTCTGAGACTCATTCTCCTCACATCCTGGTATTCAGCTCATTTATCGTGTTGTCCTCATTGGGTTCACGCACTGGAATTTGCAGTGTTTCTATTCTGGATGGTTGTAAGAAAGATCTTACTGAGCTTTCTAACTGCCACTGCTAAGTTGGGACAGAACAAGTAGCACAATAAATTATCAGCATTCAATCAAAATCTTAGTGCCTAGCTCAATATAAGTTGGGAGTTTCTCACCTCTATAAATCTAGATACTGGCCGACAACAAAATATCCTTCAACTTATGCTCTAGTTCTCTTACTTTATTGCTAGTACTGGAAAATTACTCTTAATAGGTTTTGTAGCAATATTAAACTAATGTAATTAAAAAAGGTTGAAAAATAAAGATGCTAGCTAGTTTACAGATTCTACTTACCTTAAATTGTACACAACAATTTGAAAAAAGTACCAATAAACCATTCAATATGATTTATATTGGAATGTTCAGTTCCATTTTACTAGGTTCAAGGCAAGTCCAAAAACAGTGGCAATAATTTCCCTGCAGATTGCAAATATTGTGATATCTCATATGTAAATAACAGTTAAAGAATAAAATAAAATATATGAGGACTTTCTTTTTTATCTGGTTAAAATCTTTGTATGAAAGGTTATGAGAAGACTGCATTTTTGACCAATTTATCTCCCAGAGATACAGTTCTGTATAAAAGCCTGTTAACTATTGTTACTCAAAAATAAATTCCAGAATCCTTTTTTACTTCTCACTATTCAACCTTAACTTGCTTTCTATTAAGGGTAATAATTCCTGTGTCCAATGCAAGGAACCAATTTTCATTTGAATTCAATAATAGAAATTGTGTACAAGGATACCCATGTCTTGCTGTACCTCGATACCCATGTCTTGTTGTACCTCCTCCTTTCTCAGTCTATCACCATTCAGATATTAATCAACCTTCCTGTTCTTGCTAACAAAGTGGATAACCTCAAAATGATTAACATTATACTTCATCTGCCAGGCATTTGCCCACTCACTCAACTTGTCCAAATCACACTGAAACATCTCTGCAGCCTCCTCACAGCTTACACTCCTACCCAGGTTTGTGTCATCTGCATACTTGGACATATTATGATTAACATATCATCTGGTCATTATCATATTGCTGTCTGTGGAAGTTTGCTCCATGCAAACTGACTGATACATTTCATAAATTACAACACTGACAAAAATAGTTCATAGGTTGAAAAGCACTTTGAGATAGTCAGTAGTTAAAAGTATCTATATAAATGTCTTTTCTTTTAACAATGCTTTATATTGCTATTCCAGATCAAAATGCCATAACAGAAAACCCAATATCGACATCTTATGATATGTAAAACCTTATTATTTTACATCATCATAGACCTTGGTGAACCAATCAACTATTTTTGGGAAGAAAGAATGCCCATTTTCCTCAGTACCTTAAGTTTAAAATGGCAAAATAATTTTAAATAAAATTTTTAAATTGCGACATAATGTCACAATATTTTCACATAGCACTTGTTGACGATTTATATTTCAATGTTCAGTAGTCTGTTCCCAACACAGAACCTCATTTGATGACAGCACAAATCAGACATTAGGCCTGGAAATCAGTGCTGCTCTTTTTGTTGTAAAATAGGAAATATTGTGACTTGGATACATTGAACCATGAGCCAAATTATTCAGTCTGTACTCCAACTGATATAGGTCCTGTGCTGGAATCCGTACCCTGAATCAATTAAAGCCATAAGGCCATAACAAGTAGGAACAGGAGTTAGTCATTCAGCCCCTCGAGTCTGCTCCGCCATTTAATAGGATCACGGCTGACCCGGCGTTCCTCACATTGATTTTCCTGCCCCCCCCCTTAACCCTTAATTCCCCTACTGATCAGGAAACTATTTAGCTCAGCCTGAAATATACACAAGAACTCTGCGGCAAGGAGTTCCAAAGACTCTGAACCTTCTGACAGGAGACATTCCTCTTCATCTCAGTCTTAAATTAGTGCCTCATTATCCTGAGACAATACCCTCTGGTCCTAGACTCTCCTATGAGGGGGAACATCGTCTCAACATTTACCCTGTCAAGCCCCTTAAGAATCCTGTATGTTTCAATGAGATCACCTCTCATTCTTCTAAACTCCAGCGAGTACAGTCACAACCTGTTTAGCCTTTGCTCATAAGACAATTCCTCCATACTTGGAATCATCCTCATGAACATTCGCTGAACTGCCTCCAATTTCCATAAATAAGGGAACCAAACCTGCCAACAGTACTCTGATGTGATCTCACCAGCACCTTGTGCAGTTGCAGAAGACTTCCCTACTTTTATACTCTAATCCTCTTGAAATAAGGTCCGACATTCCAATAGCCTTCCCATTACCGGCTGCACATGTAAACTTAGCTTTCTGAGTTTTGTGCCCAAAAATACCCCAAGTCACTTTGTCTTGCAACTTTCTGCTGTTTTTCTCCATTTCCTTTGGGCCTAAGAAGAAAAGTCATATTTCGATCACTTACATTCATTTCATCAATCTAAATTACAGTAACTGCTCGTCCGCAGGTTTGGGTATAACGGGAAAAGTATACTATTTTACTCACCGTGCCATTACTTGCAAAGGCTCCACAACAAGTGAATCTACAAAAGGACATGAAATAAGAGACACTATAAAGAATGCAACTTGAAAATATTTCTTTATCTGACTGAGGCAAATTAAATAATTATTTTAAAATTGTGATTTACTTTTGTTGTAAAATTAAGAAATATTAATTAGCTGTACAGATGACAGATAAGCATTCTACATATGTATGCAAGAAATATTATATAAAATAGAACATATTGAAATAAAAGGATTCAATGCAAATGAAACAGTCCAGAAAACACAAGCAGAGGGAATGGTTAGTGGGAACTTTGGTGTATTTATAATCAACCAGCATAACACTTTACATTCAAATTACTTAAGAATGTATGCATCTTTTTAATGCCTTTAGTATAGTCAGAAGTACAAGGCATGTTGCTGGGAAGAAAAATACAAATTAAAGAAAATTTTAAAATGCTAAATAGAACACAGATGTTCAAAAGTTTCAACCTTAAGACAGATTTCAAAATGTTTAATGAGGATAGATGGAAAAGTGAAGGGGCAGTGGGATTTTGGGGAGGAAGTTCTAGAGAATAAACTGAAGGAAGTTTCTGCCATCAATAGAGATACAAAGGGAAGGGTACGAACAACAGACCAATCGAAGTAGAGGAGCACAGTAAGGGATGCAAGTCTTAAAGCCATTACAGAGATAAGTAACATAAGATGTGATAATAAATCATATAAATTAGGAGCACGAGTACGCTATTCAATCCCTTAAACCTATTCCAGCATTTGATAAGATTATAGCCAGTCAGATTGTGCCCTCAACTTCATTTTTCTGCCCACCTCCCGTACCATTTGACTCATTTGTTGGTCAGGAATCTATTTAACTCTACCTTAAAAAAGTAAACAAAGAATCCGCTCCACCTTCCTCTGTGGGGAAGACAATTCTAAAGACTCATGATGCTCTAAGCAAAAAACAATTCTCTGCATCTCATCATCAATGGAAAATCTGTTACTATTAAACTGTGTCCTCCAATTCTAGTCTCTCCTACAGGGGGACTCATCCTTTCAATCTCATCTGGAAGAAGGGTATTAAATTCCACCAAGCAATTCTGATTTAAAAATTAATCCAAAACAGAGCATGCCTGTTGATCTTTCTTGTGCACAGCTTTAGTGTGCATGGTGGATGCTGGGGCACAGCCTTGTCCACAGTAATACGATTCAGTGTGACACCTAATTTAGGGAAACAGCTATGAGATTTGCTTCTCTCTAGCATTATCTACACTCAGCCCTTACTTATTCCATAAATCTTGTTTTAAAAAATTGGTGTGCTGCACATTTGACAAATAAGAGTGGGGCCCAGATGATCAAATCACATGGAATAGCAACACAGTATCACTTAGTGGAGCTATATAAAAATTGACACTTCTAAACATATGTATACCGTCAATAACAAAACAAAGGCCTCACAGCTCAGTATTGAGGAATCCATTTTCTGCCTTGTTTCAGCATATTAGGTTTTCAACCTTGATCTAGCTTAAAATTCTATAAAGCATTGACTATGCTTTTACAAACTGTTACAACCGAGTCTGGAGGAGGGCACTATCACTCTTATCCCACTGCTCCACTGGTTACAGAATTAAATAACAATTCATTTTCTCGTTACCAAGACGATCAATTAAATTTCTTACCTGTATCAAGTTTTAAATAGCACAATCTATGAACCAAATTTCTTAATAAACACAATTATTGGTTTATGAAAACGAAACTTATTCACTGAAGTTGCAATAACTGGTTAACATATGCAATCAGTAATATAGAAGCATCCCTGTAAATAACTCCAACACACACACATACACTCTCTCTCTTCAGGAAAAGAAAACATATTTCTATTCCGAGATGGGTTTTCTGAAAAATCAATTTGGCCAATGGACTATTTTCGAAGACAAAAGGGTAAAATATAATACATTCCAGAGGCTGTTGCTCTGAAGTTCTGACTGGTGTGGTTAATTCACCAGTCACATAAGCTTGTCTCTGAAGTCTTACTGACACAGCTTGCTCAGGAAATACAAACTTAAGATTCTTTTCAATTACTTATTCAACATAACAGATAGTTTTCACCCTGAACTAAACAAGAAGATTTTTCTTTTCAGAAATGAGAAAGATCAGCTGAGCAGCTTGTTATTAGCAAGCATTTTTCCAACTCAGCTTTGTTCTAGCAAGCTTTCTCTAAGTAAACCAGATTAAAAAAAGCAGTAAGTTTGGTGGGACCACACCTGTGAAGACTTGGGACATGAAAAAAACTGCTACACCTCTTAGAGCCAAAGCAACTCATGTAGCCAAGGCTGGCATCACCAATGTTCCTACCATTCCAATTCCTGTATCCTAAGGCTGAATGAGGCCCTATACTCCTGCCAGTTTCTTGTACAGACCTCTGGTGAAGCCCATAAAGGACCCTTCTGTCATCACACCAGTGGTGAGGTAGTGACAGAGATAAAGCTGGCAGATGTGGCCCAGATGAGGTGACTCTATGGAGAGCCAGGGATGACTGGAGCCCATCTTTGGTGAGGTGGTAATGGCCTTTACATACCCTACTGAATGTTCCTTCAACCCCCTATTGAACTCCAGGAGCTCCGAGCTAATGCTTTTGCGTAATGAAAATAAGCATGTTGAAAGTTAAACCATTCTGCTGCAGTTGTGGTTAAAGTATATGAAGCTAATAGAAATAGAGTCCAATATGACTCTCCTTTTCAGAATGCTGGGCTTCCAAAGAAGTGTCATATTGGACTCAAAACATTAACTCTGTTTCTCTTTCCACACACGTAGCCAGACCTGTTGAGTATTTCTTGCACTTCCTGTTTTTATTTCAGGTTTCTGGAATTCTAGACTCTATGACTCTAAAAGACATGAACAAATTCAAGATGCACGAGCTCAAAGTGTTCCTCATCATACTGCAGGGAATGCAGGAACATAACTTATTCTGCTCCCTCCCCAATGGGGTGTAATGGTACTTAGAAAAGGCTCTTTCCATAAAGATAACAAAATCAGAGATATTTTACAAATTTCACAATTTACATCTCCTTTAGGAAAGGGAACTATGTGCCATATTCCCAGCACCATTCCAGGATGCAAGATTCTGGTCTGTCAAAGAGGAGTCTACATGATCCACCTTGCTTCCAATTCAGGTTGGGTGGCTATCTTGTAGGTCTTGTATTTTCATCCTGGGAGGTCAAGAATAGGCATGAGAAAGGGGCCAAGTGCTGGAAAATGGTATTGGAATAGATTGGTGGCTGATTTTGACTGGCAGACTTGATGGGCCTAACGACCTTTTCCTGTGCTGTAGACCACTATGACTATATGACTCTAAAGGACATTGCTCCACTTGACTGGATTAATTGAGTGAAGCAGGAATGGGGATCCAGCACTTTGTTTTGGAGTTGCCCTTGTACAATAGATACAAGGTTCTGGTTCCAATTGTGGATGAGGGCACAGAGTGCAGAAAAGATGTGTGAACTAACCACAGCACTGTGGAATATGTAACTCTTGTCAGTGCATACATGATTGGCTACAGTTCTATCCTTTACCAATTTGCTTTCTGGATTATAACATGGTAGCAGAGAGTTAACATAACATAAACAAGTGCGGGAGTAAACCACAGCACATCAAAGACCAATGGATTGGTGGTTCCCCCAGTTAAGACATTTATTGTATCTCCTTCACAGTACCAGAATTTCTCATCAGAGTGTTGGACAAGTATTTTCCCCATCAGGCAATCGTAATCAGACATAAAAAGCAAGTTGCCTTAAAGTTACATGAACAATGTTTTCACCCAACTTGTTGAAAATTAAACCCGTTGAATGTTTCTTGCCCTTCCTGATTTTATTTCAGGTTTCCAGAATCCATAGTATAGTATTTTTACTGAAGTGATAGAAAAGAATATCAGATTGTCTCTTTGGCAATCCTCTTGTCTGCCCCTACAGGCAGAACTTGAACACATAATCTTGACTTGCATTTCATGCAAAGGACCATTGCAGAAAAAACGTGCACGGAATTCACATGTGAAATTTGTAAAGAAACGTATCAAAGGACCACCATGACCTATTATAAGCGCTTGACTTTAACAAGATTGGTGCCATGGATCTAAATGCATGGGATAAAGACAAATAATATTTTCATTCTACATTTTGGAGACTTGGAGACCAAGTTTATCCACAATAATACAAATGGATATGAACTGTACTTGTTTCTGACCACAAGCAAAAGTGATGCCAGTTATCAGGAGTTTTGAAGAACATCAGGATCTTACTGTAGGATATTAGAGTGCACTGTCCCACAGCTGGAAAAGTGACCTTAGAAATGTCTTTAGCTCTTTCTTTCTTTCATATTGATGACCATAACAGTTGTATTTTTGCTGGATGATACTTCTAAGAGGCATGTTGCTGCAAGTTATTTAAAAAAGCAGATACAGAAGAAAACTATGGAAACTAAACAGATGTGTCAATGGCCTGACTGATGCTTGAAGTTATGCTATTTTCAGTGAGATCCACTTTGTTAAAAGATAAATATGTTCAACTAAAAACAGATCTTATCATTAAGAAAAACATTCAGGCATCTTCATGATACATGTTGATTACTATGATCTAAAAAGAGACAGCATTTACAAACAAAACAGAGGAATTGCTGGAGAAATTCAGCAGGACAGGCAGTACTTATGGAGACAAAGCAGAGTTAATGTTTTAAGTCCAGTGATTGTTTTTCGGAACAGATATTTGCTAGGAAAAGGTGGTATGAGTGAATGGATAGGCAGAGATGGAGCCCAGAGACAGAGAACAACAGTTAGGCAGACATAGGGATAGATGGTAGTATTTCAGGGGGAAAGAAAAGCTGATATCAGGAACCATAAGCAGGTGAAAATGGGTTGGCTGTGAACAGTTACAAAGCTTGACTGATCAGGCAAACTGGTTTTGCTCTGAGGTTAGACTAAATATTAGTTTTGATGTGCTAGTATTAAGTGCTAAGATAAAAGACTCAAGTCAGTAATGTTTTAAGTGCAAATAAAACATTCAGAAAATTAAATATAGATAAATCTGTACTTAAGTGACCCAAAGAAAAAGCAACTAGACCATTTAGTAAGCATTTAGTAATCCTTGACATACTAATTTTCTTGATGGATAATTGAATACAGTTGATTTCATCATATTTCTAATGGATGAGAATGGGAAATGTTTTCCATTAGCTTGAGAAGCTAAGAAAATACATTTTATTGAAAGTACTCTAGCTGTCAAGACACTGGCTCTCATGGAGACAGTGAATATGGGATTCTATTTGTCGAACACTTTTAGTAAAATTTTATTGAATGGGCATAATGAAGATTTATAATGACTTAATATTATGTACATACTTGTTCCTTATGGGATAACATATACTTTATGAAAAGTCTTAAGTTCAAAAAGATCACAAATCACCGGCATGAAACAAATGCTGGAGAGAAGTCTCTCAAAGTAAATGAATGAATGCAAGTCATCAGCTACCCAAGTGAAAACAAATGTATTCAAAAATTGTTACAAGTCGTAGAGGAGAAGCATCTCACAATGTGACACTTTGCATGGAATATACTGCTTTTTGCTTTCATTTATATTCCAATTTTGGTTTGGCATATTAGCTTTTTTTATTTTGACGGAAGGAAATCTGTTAATTGTACACTGTATGCAGGTGCTGGCTGTTAATTGGTGATTCACTTGAATCCCTACAAAAGATAGACTGATGGGTCTCTTGTGGTATAGAGATAGATTCCCTATCCCTAGACCAGGAGTCGGAGGTTCAAGTCCCAGCTGCTTCAGAGATGTGTAATAACATCTCTGACCAAGTTGATTAGGAAAAATAGATCAAATTTAAAAATAAGTTAAAAGACAGACTGAAATTCTGCTTTTTGGGTGCATGGGTGTAGCTCTAAATAAATAGAGAATTGTGTAAATGTTAGTTCCATTTCTATACTTCATCAAATGGGTTCATGAGATTCAGGGTGAGCTTACCAAATGGATACAAAATTGGCTTAACAGCAGGAGACAGAGAGTGATGGTGGAGGGTTGTTTTCTGGACTGGAGGCCTTGACCAGCGGTGTTCCACAGGGATCAGTGCTGGGTCCACTTATTTGTCATTTATATAAATGATTTAGATGAGAATATGTAAGGCATGATTAGTAAGTTTGCAGATGATATCAAGATTGATGGCATAACGGAAAGCGAAGAAGTTTACCTAAGATTACAAAGAGATCTTGATTGATTGGGTCAATGGGCTGAAGAGTGGCAGATGGAGTTAAATTGGATAAATGTGAGGTATTGCATTTTGGTAAAACAAACAAGGGTATGACTTATACAATTAATGGTAGGGTCCTGAGTTTTAGAACAGAGAGACCTCAGGGTTCAGGTATATAATTCTTTGTAGTTTCCATCCCATTTAGAAAGAGTGATTCAGAAACATTAAGCACGCATGCTTTCATTGCTCAGAACTTTGAGTATAGGAGTTGGGACATCATGTTGAGGTTGTACAGGATGTTAGTTAAGCCTCTTCTGGAGTTGTGTGTCCAGTCTGGTCTCCCTGTTATAGGAAGAATATTATTAAGCTGGAGAGGGTTCAGAAGAGATTTATCAGCATGTTGCCGGATATGGAAGATTTGAGTTATAAGGAGAGGCTGTATAGGCTGAGACATTTTTCCACTGGAGCGTAGGAAGTTGAGAGGTGACCTTATAGGGGTTTATAAAATCAGGAAGGGTATAAATATGAATGGTGAATTGCAGGTATGGTTTCTCCAGGGTGAGGGTTTCAAGATGATGGGGCATATTTTTAAGATGACAGGAGAAAGATTTTTTAAAAAATGAGGGGCATTTTTTTTTAAATGGAGAGTGATTCATGTGTGGAATGAATTTCCACAGGAAATGGTGGATATGGGTATAGTTATAACGTTTAGAAGACATTTAGATGAGTACATGAATAAGAAACATTTAGAGGGATATGGGTCAAGCGCAGGCAGGTGGGACTATGGGATTATGGTCGACATGGATTGGTTGGATCAAAGGGTCTGTTTCCATACTATATGCCTAGGACTCGATAAGTATAAAATTAAGCATGCCAACATTCCACCTCGTTACATTTTATCCCTAAATTAGGGGATACAATTTATGGCCAAAATTGCATTTAGAGGAGGCAATGGCCTAGTGGTAATATCGCTAGATTATTGGCAAAAGGTGGAATTTGAATCCAATTAAAAAAAATCTGGAGTTAAGAATCTATTGATGACTGTGAAATCATTACCAACTGTCAGAAAAACCCATCTGGCTCACCTATGCCCTTCAGGGAAGGAAACCTGCCATCCTCACCTGTCTGGCCAACATGTTACTCCAGACCCACAACACTGTGATTAATTTACAACTGCCCTCTGAAATGGCCTAGAAAACCACTCAGTTCAAGGGCAGCTAGGGATAGGCAATAAATACTGGCCAACCAGCAAAGCCCATGTTCCACAAGTGAATAATTTTTTAAAAATCCCAGTAACAGTCAACACAATGATAAGGAAGGAAACAAATAGGTGAAGGTAGCTTTCACTGGCAAGAAAAAGAACATTCCAAAGGGTCAGAATCCAGGTTGTTAAAACACACACAGATGAGGTAATACAGATTAATCTAATGGATTAATGGCAATCTGGTGGATGCTTTGATTGCTTGAAGGGTGCAGTTTTAAAAGTTTCCAAAGCAATGACATTGTACCCTTAACAATTTACCACAAATGAAAATTCTGAAACTAATGCTGCACATTCCATTAAACAACAGTACTTGCAATATTGGCAGAAACGTGACAATTTGGTTTGGTAGATTAAGTTGTCAGTTTAAGCTTTTAAGAAACTTTAAAAATGTTCATTACTTATTTAATTACTTTTTCTCAATGAGTTGGAGCATTAAATTAAGTATCAACTTGTTACCAATCCACTTACACCAGTATATAGGCTGGCAGTAGTTATCTTAGTTCTTATGGGTCCAGCAGAGGTTTGGGGCGGGGCAGCGGTTGGAGAGGAATGTGGAGTGGGTGGGGTTATCAGCTCAAGGTTGCACTGGTAGGTCCAAGGAACTGGGTAGGTGAGAAGGTGAAGGTAGCAGGAGTATCAGTTGGGTCAGAGTGTGTCAACTCCTGCTGGGATGAGAAGAAATATTAGGTGAAGCCGAATGCAGTTGGGGATGTATGGTGTGGGGTCCAGGAAGTGGTCAGACTGACAAGGGAATGGAGGGTGCTCCTGTGTCGGTTCTGGATGGGTCAGGTCAGAGTTTGTGGTCTGTTCAGGTATGGTTGCCAGGTGACCCAGGGTTGTAAGGGCTCACAGCGGGTATAGATGGGGTGAGGAGTTGGTGAACTGCAAGATAGGGGATAGCCAGAACTGAAGATGCTGGAGTCAGAGTCGATACAGTGTGGAGCTGGAAGAACACAGCAGATCAGGCAGCATCAGAGGAGTAGGAGAGTCGACATTTCCGGCCTAGACCCAAATCTAGGCACATTATCCCTGATCTGTTTTTTATATCCAGAAGTACTCTTACACACAACTAAAGCTTTTCTACTCCACCAACACAAATCACCCGTGGTATTTTTTTCACCTATTAAATGTCATTAGTAAATCACCCATGTTTTACAATTGATTAACTTACATGCAAAACCCACTAAGTGGAATGCAGACCATCAAAGGTGAGGGAGAGGTCAGGAAAGAGGGGGAAGGCTATATCAAAATGGAGTTAGAAGGGGACATTATCCCTTTATATCTAATCTTTAAGTTCGATGCGAGTGATTCTCCCTTGTTCTTTCCTGAGAACTGTGATGTCTTCTTAGAAGAATACTCATAGAACTTGGACTTTAGACCTCTGACCTTTTAATAACTTGCAGATTTCTAGCCAAACATACAAGGTCAGAATTTGCCACAATATAAACTTTTCTGCTCAGATAAATGTGGTTTCTCTGAACTGTTTTATACTCCTTTTTAGGAGAGAGACTATAGTTGCTTCTGACCCAAGTCAGGTTTTCTCCAAAGTGCAAAAAAACTTTTAATCTCTGATTTCTAAACTAAAATCAAGCTATTGGCTCTCAGAATTTACCCTTTTGTAAAGCAGCACGTACAAATAATCTTCCATTAATATTCCAAGTGTTCCCTTGTTCTCTGACATATTCTGGATTAGGTCATGGTTCTAGACAACTGTTCTGGAAGGACTGTTTAACCTGGAATTTTTTTTAAGTCCTTCCCAAAAGTAAGTAACCCCATATGCCACTATTTTAAAACTAAAATTTTAAAAATGATATAGATCAATCAGCCACCTTGCATTACAGTAACCTCCTCTACCCTTTGTGCCCAGTTGCACCATGTATCATTCACCCTTCCTTCAACCCTATGAAATGCCTTACAATGACACAATAATTTTTGCTTGCAAATGACTTATTTTTACAAAATTTATTCTTTTGTTACTACCAACCACAGATTTGTTAAAAAGAATGTAATAAAAGCCACCACCTACTCTCTGGAACAAGCTCTTCCAATCTTCTTGGTGGTCCAAGAGATGATCTCTGTTAAATAGGTTAACAATATTATTGCATACACAAATATATTAAAAATAAAACAACAGCACAATTATAAGTTGACAGTCCCAAAGGTAAAGCAATGCAAACTAGCTTATTTGGCTCTCAGTTCTTGAGAGATTTATAGCAAAGGCAGGTCCAGCCACAGTGGAACCAAAATTTACTGCGGTCACGCCAGGAAGAAAAGTTAGTGGCAAGCCAGAAGACCAAGGACAAGCCTGTCCTGCAGTCCTGAAGGTGAAATGTTGCAAGGAGGATAAATTTGTGCTGCCCTCCCTCCTCCACCCAAGTTTAAGGATTCCCAACAAACAGTCCTGTCAGCATTAAAGTTCAGTTCTGGGTGCTATTGAGACTGCAGGCTCACCCATGAAAGTCTGGTTTTGGATACGGAAGGTTTTTATGTGGGGGATGGGTTGCTATGACTTGAAGTATAACGGGTAGAAAGGAAGGGAAGGGTGAGAGTTACCAATTGCAAAGAAAAGCCTCCAAAGATAGTATCCACTGTTTCCAGCACTGTTAAAACTTTAAAAACAGGGCTGTTCCCATCCCTCCCATAGCACACCCAGAGGGACATGTAATATTCAGCCCATTATCTATTAGTAATTATCAGGTATTTTGTGATAATTTCCCGAAAAAAATGTTTTAATTAGAGCAATGAATATCACAGTTGCTTAAAAAACATATATTTCACTATTCATGTAACTCATTTCACCTTCATGAAATAATAAACATGGGACAGTTATAATTATAATTCCAATTTCCAAATAAAAGATTCAATAATTTTTGTATTTCTTAAAAGTGAATGGTAAAGAAAGATTTAGAAATTTCATTCTTGTGAATAGCATGTCTTTCAATTAATCATAAGTCGTTGCAGAAATTACCTCAAAAAAGCAGTCAATAGTATACTTACCAATAAAAATATTCTTGTAATATCAAAATGATTTGTTTTATTATTAGCTTAACGTACAGAAAGCAATTAACTATCTTACATAGTTGTCAAATTTTCCACTCAAAGCACTCAAATGGTGTACAGACAGACAACTGACAGTGAGGGAGATCTACAGAAGTTGCTGGAAAAACTCAGCAGGTCTGGCAGCATCTGTGAAGGAAAAAAAAACAGAGTTAACGTTTGGGGTCCAGTGACCCTTCCTCAGAACTGGACCAGTCACCGAACTCGAAACGTTAACTCTTTTTTCCTTCACACATGCCGCCAGACCTGCTGAGCTTTTCCAGCAACTTCTGTTTTTGTTCCTGATTTACAGCATCCGCAGTTCTTTCGGTTTTTATGTGAGGGAGATCTAGTCTATTTTGAGAACAGAGCCTCTCCAGTCAGTGCATAAGCACCCTCAGGTATCCCATGAGGAGGAGGTAATTTTGGAGTGATGAGTAGTCAGTGCAGCAATGGCTCATGTTGGTATCATGAAGCCATGAAGCACTCTTTTGCTACTTTGTCTTGCTGACAAACAAGAATACTATTTACTTACTGGGTTACTCTTCAACTAGACAGCCAGTTGACACCCAATGGTGCATGGACTGTGGAGATAGCAAGAACTGCAGATGCTGGAGTCAGAGTCAATAGTGTGGAGCTGCAGGAACACAGCAAGCTTGGGCTGACTAATAGCAAATAACATTTGTGTCACACAAGTGCCAGGAAATGACCACCTCCATCAAGAGAGAATCTAACCTGTGCCCTTTGACAGTCAATGACATTACGATCGCTGAAACCTCCACAATAACTTCCTGGGGGTTACCATGGATTGGAATGGAATGGACTAGCCATACAACTACTGCAGCTACAAAAGCAGGGTCAGAGGCAAGGAATCCTGCAGTGAATAACTCACCTCCTGACTATACCAGACCAATCCACCATCTACAATACACAAGTCAGGAGTGTGATGAAATACTCTACATTTGCATGGATGAAAGAAGTTCCAAAAATTCTCAAAAGGCTTGACACCATCCAAATCAAAGCAGCTGACTTGTTTGGCACCTCATCCACAAACATTCACGCTTACCACTATTGGCATCCAATAGCAATATTTTGTACCATTAACAAGATGGTCTGCAGAAATTCACCATGCCTTCTGAGACAACACTTTCCATTTCATGACACTGTCATCTTGAAAAACAAGGACAGAAAATACATGCAATCACCATCACCTCCAATTTCCTCTCCATGCCTCTCACCATCCTGACTTGGGAAAATGTTGTTGTTCCTTCACTGTTACTGGCTCAAAATCCTGGAACTGTATCCCTAATAGCATTGTGGGTGTAGCTACACTAAATGTACTTGAACAGTTCAAAAGGCAGCTTCTCCAGGGCAATTAGGGATGGACAATAAATGTTGGCCCAGCCAACGAAACCCATATCCCTTAAATTAATAAACCAAAAAATTATAGATTCACCAGAATTATATCAGCCTTTTAAAGAATTAAATTATGAGGTCAGGCTGCATAAATGTTTAGCTGATTGAGAGGTGACTTCATTGAATTGTTTAAAATGATGAAGGGATTTTAAAGGGTAGGTAATTCATCTGTTGGGAGAATGGAGGGGGTGGCATAATCTTAAAATTAAAGCCAAGTCATTTATGAGTTAAATCAAAACTTACTTTCTCACAAAAACATGACTGAAATTCTGGAACTCTGCTTCCTGGAAGGACTTGGATTATGAGTCAATTGAAATGTTTAAGATCGAGATCAATAGATTTTTGTTAAGTGACGGTGTCAATAAATGTAACAACAGTGGGCCTAAAGAAATAAAGATACAGAGCAATGATCTGACCGAATCATGGGGAAACTGAATAACCCTTGTCTGTTTCTATCTTCTCAGAACTTTGCAGCTAACTGGCACTTAGTGGTGTGACTGCTACCCCCCACCACTGCATTCTGTTCCCCAGACATTTCCACATTCTTTCCACAAATTTTTTGCATGCTTTCCTTCCTCAATTTTCAGGGTTATCCACTTCCCTCAGTTGAATTTGTACATTTACCCACTGTCATAGACTTATATAGAATGGAGACAGACACTTTGGTCTAACTCGTCCATGCCAACCAGCTATTAACCTTATCCATGCCCCTCATGATTTTATAAACCTCTATGTGGTCACCTCTCAGCCTCCAATGCTGCAGGGAAAAAAGCCCCAGCATATTCAACCTCTCCCTATAGCTCACGCTGTCCAATCCCAGCAACATTCTTGTAAATCTTTTCTGAACCCTTTCAAGTCTCACAACATTCTTCCTACAGCAGGGAGACCAGAACTGAATGCAGTATTCCAATGTCCTGTACAGCTGCAATACGATGTCCCAATTCCTGTACTTAATGCACTGACCAATGAAGGCAAGTGTACCAAATGCCTTCTTTGCCATTCTTTTTAACTATGACTCCACCTTCAAGGAACCATGAACCTGCACCCCTAGGTCTGTTTGTTCAGCAATACTCACAAGGGCCCTACCATTAAATGTATAAGGCGTGCTCTGATTTGCCTTTCCAAAATGCAGCACCTCAAGTTATCTAAATTAAACTCCATCTGCCACTCTTCAGTCCATTGGCCCATCTGATCCAGGTCCCATTCTACTCTGAGATAATCTTCTTCACTGTCCACTGCACCATTTATTTTGGTGTCATCTGCTAAGTTACTAATTATACCATCTATGTTCACATCCAAATAATTTACAAAGATGATGAAAAGCAGTGGAATCAGCAACAATCCCTGTGGCACACAGCTGGTCAGAGACCTCCAGTCCGAAAAGTAACCCTCTAGCATCATTCTCTGTCTCCTACCTTCAAGCCAATGTTGTACCCAATTGGTTATCCCCCCAGGATCCCATGTGATCTAACCCCATTAACCAGTTTACCATGCTGAACCGTGTCAAACACTTTGCTGAAGTCTGTATGGGCAACGTCTACCACTTTCCGTTCATCAATCTTCTTTGTCACCTGTTCAAAAAGCTCAATCAAGTTAGGATTTCCCATGCAGAAATGGCGAGTCTCATTAAGTTTCTGGTCCATGATTACCCCCAGGATGTTGATAGTAGAGATGATAACACCATGGAGTATCAAACTTCCATTATATTATTAAATAAGTTAGATACCATCCCCACATTTAGTGAATATACCAGCTATGGATTTTCCTGTCCTCTGTGGTTTGTTTGGGTCTCAGCTTCATATTCTTGCAACCACCTAGTCCTTTATCACTTAACACCACCTCTCTTTCCTCAGCGAACCTCTTACCGATGTGCCCTTTGCTTATGCTGGGTTCCTACCAGTGAACTGACCAACGGCCATAAGTTTTTTTTAATTCATTAATGGAATGTGGGTGTTGATGACAAGCTTCACAAATTCTTAAAATGATTATTGTAACTTTTTTTGCTGTCTTAATAAACTGAAAGTGTCTTTCTCATCTCAATGCTTTGAAATTACTCTCACACACCCACTTGAAACTCAGATGAGAGCCCAGATTTCCATTAAGGCTTTGCTTTACTGAAACAAGGTACACAGAAGGGAAAACTTTGTTTGATAGACAGCTTTGCAAGCTTTTCCTCTGAGAATTATTTTGTTACTAGTGAACATTTACTTACACAAGATAATGAAGTGTCAACCACTAAAGGTTTCTGTCCATGAGAGGTCACATTGGACACTACCATTGCACATGTTTCTGGGCCACAGGCTCTGGGTTCAAGTCCAACCTTCGAACATTATAGACATGGGAGGAGTGTCCATAATTTTTCCAAATAGGGTGAGGTGAAACTGTAAACCCTTCTGATACACCTAAAGCAGGACGTATGGCGAGGAGTGTGTTCTGGTCAGCCACAACTTCTGGTAAGCTGTGGAGCAACAGTCTTCGATGTCAACATGTGTAAAGACTCCACATGTTGGCTCATGCTATGATCAAGTGTCATCCTGGTGTAAGGACCGTGTCTTTTTATTTTTGTGTTTTACTGTGGACTGAAATAAGGGAAGCTGTCTTAAAGCCAATATTTGAAAAGGTG